AAATATTTCCCTTGAGATATTAACTCCTTACTATATCTGAAGTCCAATTCATAGGAGAATCGTGGGAACAGCTTATTTGGCAAGTACAAAATAAAAATCTGGAGATTGCAAAATATTTGACTAAAAAAAATCTGACATCAGAATCTGATATTCTGATTATTTAAAAAGGGGGTTTGAATAGAGGGAAGATATCACAGAAAAATTATTTTAAGATGAATTAAATAAGAATTAAATAAGAAAAAAAAAATCATGAATTGTCTAATAAAGTTATAATAAATAAGGCCCACAAAGTTTATTTTTGTAATATTAAAGTCATATTCAGTTTGAGTGAGTAATAGACAAAGTCTCAATTCATTATGTTGGCTAGTAAATCGTCATACCAAGTCATTACAAGAGAATGGACTGATCACAATAGATACACAATGACTAGATGGTTGCATTTGCACTCAAAGTCAACAGAACCGCATTTTGAACATGACTTTTGAACCAACATTTCTCAGCTAGGTAAATATGCTTTGGTATAGAAAGGCAAAGTTTCCTGTTTCAGCACCGGTTTCTGTTTATGATTTATCATTTTAAGGGTGGAATGCAGAGTTTTTATTAATATTGTGGAGTGGAGAAAGCCTTTTTATTGCAGAAGGCAAAATAATGTGCCGGAACCCAAAACAAATTAATCTTAAAAAAACAAACACAGCACATATGATATGCTGAAATATACAACTTTAAAAAGTGCTGATTTACTAAATGAAAAGTTCCCACACCATGTATGCTGCAAATAAGACAAACAGGGTATCAAGTGGATATAACATTAGTTTGACACATTTCAGACAAGATTGTTTTAGTCTTAATCAAATTCTGTTTTTAATGATATTTTTAACATTTTAGTCCTATTAATAATAAAAAAAAAAAAAAAAAAAAAAATCAGTGAAAAATTGTCACAAATGTATTGACCTCAATGTCTTTATTTTTTACATATCTGATCTATGATACTGAGCACTTTTACTCATAAACATAGCATACATTATAATTATCTATGCCTTTAATGGATTTATTATTTATTTATCATATATTTTTATATATATATATATATATATATATATATATAAAATATTTTTATAAAAGTGAGATTAAATTGACATCAGAATTTGAAACAATTTTACAATTAAATGTCAGCATTTGGGAGGAGGATGGTAAATCTTGGCATTTAACAAGTTTCTCAGATTTAATTAAGATGCAAGCTGTTATTTGACCTGAACACCAAGGAAAATATGTTCAATCCTTCAAAGAAGTTGAAGCAAAGCTAGGAATGCCTTTGCAGTGACAATGAGATGAAAACCAAGAAAAGATTTTTAAGGAACAAATATTGCAGTATTTTCTTTTTGAGATAGATATCAAATTATTTAAATTTCACCCTAAGTGTGTGTAGCATACAAAAATAAAAATGTTCTTTGTGTGGTCAAGGCAGTATAAGAAGAAATAAATAAAATTGGTTTTAAGCAGGAGAAAAACAAAAAGAGAAAAGGCTGAGCCTGCATATACAAAGTTATGAGAAATGGAAAATATTTTCTATGGGTGAAAGGAACAAATCGTAAACTGCCAAGTAAATAGGATATTAAAATAGTTGAATGAGAAAAAAAAAAAAAAAATCTGTAGATTGCCTTGAAATATTACTCTGTTAAAGCTGATTTCAGTATTCTTGAATGAGGAAGTAAACCAGAAAATGCTTTGTCAGAGAAAAGAAATCCCCCCCCCGTCTTAAATTATCTATATATGTGTAGATATAGATAGATATTATATATCTAAAAAAGCAGACCATGAAGGAAGGTTCAAATTTTGTTCTTAAAAAAAAAAGAAAAAAAAAAGAAAAAAGCGTGAAGAGAAATTTCTGGCTTCTTTATTTTGATAGTAGAGATCAAAATTCTTAAACCACTTCAACTAAACAAGACAGCTTTTCATTTCATCATAACTCTTCAAGTACGAAGTACAACAAATCCCTGGTATGTCTAATTATCTAATTAGGAAACAAAGAAACTTTTGGAAAATTAATTTATACTATATTTATTGGTGAAGTATATTAAACCCTGGTTTTGGTATCTTGCTTAATTAAAAAAAAAACAAAAACAAAAAAAAACAAAAAACAAACTAAATTCCAGATTTTTAAAATTGTTGTGACCTAAGCCAATTCTTTCACAATGCTTGTGCCACTCCTAGTAGCACCATAATTATGCTGTACTTTTAGGATTGAGGAGTTTTGCATAAAGATATAGACAATTACATAGCAGCACTTTATAAAACAAACAGTTTCCTATTAGTGAGATACAAGTGCTGCATGTGAGAGGAAGAAGTATCACTTTACTAACCCGTTAGTGCTTGTGGCATTATTGGGCAGCAATACATGTATGCTGTATTTAAGTGTTACACATTATTCAGACAGACTTTACACTTTTCTTTATTTAATCAAATTATATTCAAGCAACTGCCTAATGACATTAATTCAGTAAATAATTTAATACGCTCTTAAGATGAAGAGAAGCAATAACATTGAGTTGTTCAAGTGAATGAGCAGTTTCAAATTATTTTGAAATGAGGCTTTAACTTTTTCAGTCTCCAGTATTTGTAAATTATACGTAAATTTACTTAGGCAGGTTACAAATGGGAAGAATTTAAAAAAAAAAGATGCTTGGAGCAAACATTTGTATATATATATATATATATATATATATATATATATATATATATATATATATGTGTGTACTATTAAGCTTACAAAAAAAAAAAAATATTGATTCCATTGGCGATTAACACTGTTTTACTCCTTTATGAAAGATTCACTAATTCAAACAAGCGGATGAATTAGCCAGTCTATTGGTATGGCAAAGTTGGATGATGCTCAATAGATTTAAGATTCAGTATAAAAAGCAGCAAAATGAAATTGTTTCAAATTGGGAAATAGAGTTTATAACTTTATACCTGCGACAACGTAAGAATCAGTGTGAGCTATGTTCCTTTCACAAGCCATTAGATTAATAAAACTAGTTTTGAAAAATGAAATCTTTATAACTATAGCAACAATAGTTAACATCCAATCTCCTGACTAGAGGCCTGCCAATCTAAGCTTTAAAAATTGAAGTCATTACAAGCCAAGCAACAGCAACGCAAAGAGATGCACTCAATATACTATTGTAGAATAGTTTTCTCTTTTTCTAGATAGGGAGAAAAGAAAATAGTGAATTGAAAGTTTTTCGATCAGTGTAGACTAAGCAAAATATGTTTATGAACAATTTAAGATGCATCCTGTCTGTATAGGTATTTTATTTTTAAATTTTCACAATTTTAAGTTAATGGCAATTTAATTTTTTTGCTTCAATGTTAGCCATTGTATATTTAAACTAGGATTCTGAAGAGGCAGAAACAACCACTCCTCCGCACCAATTATTTTCTTTTTTTATTCAGTTTATAATTGCACTTAAAATGAAGTAAATGTTATAGCATTACAAAAATTGACACCACTTATTTAGACACTCCATTAATGTAAAATATTTGAGTAAGATGAGAAAGAATTGTTTTATGTTGCATGAAAAATAGATTAATATTTTAAATATTGTCATTAGAGTTAAATAAAAACAAAGGAAAGGAATTGTTTCAAATGATAACTGTCAATATATAGAGGAAATTCATTGTTAACAAGTGCTCCAATTGCAGTCTTGTACCAGATTAAGAAATTATTAAAATCTAGTAGATTCTGTCAACAGTCCAGAAGATATTTCAGGAAAAAAAGGATTATGAAATATTTAAATGATTCTATTTTTTTCTTTTTTACTTCAAAATTGTCTGAAAAAGTCAAACAATTTAAGTACTTGAACAATTTCACAGTTCATTTGAACTTTTTCGTTTTTATAATTTGTGAAGAGAAAAGAATTCTCACAGCAGATAATCATTGCAGACTAATTTATGTAAAATTGTTTCCATCAGTATTCATTAGTAGAAAAGAAATTCGAATTTTTTTGTAATTTCTGGTCAATTTATTTGTGCCTAAGATTTGCTTTGACACATTAGAAAGATTTTTTGTATATCATTTACTTGATATTTAAATTACTGTAGATAATTTAGTTTCATTGTGGAGATGCTTGAAAGAAACAAATAAAATTTTTTAAAAATTGCCATTTTCATTGTAAAAATTAAAGAGAAGGGTTGAGATGAAGGCCGTTTGAACAGGTGGCTGCAAATTTGGGAGAGAATGCTTCATTCTTGCTTCAATCACAAGCCATCTAATGTTTTTGAAAATCTGTCCATTCAATCAGGAAAATACAGTGTGTGATTCAGATAACTGGAATCAGTTAAAGTACATTGATTTCATTAGCAGTTTCAGAAGCATTTTAAAATCAGTTTAAATTGATCCTGACTGAACTCAGCTGAGAATTTGGATATGATCTAAGACTGACAGGATGACCTCAAGAATGATCACAGGCTTAATTTCTTTTGAATTCTATCGAGACAATGCTCCTTTCATTTCTTTGTTCTCTAAGTGAATGCTGGAAGGTTCATGAAGAGAAACTTTAATATTTCCCACTCCAATAGAGACAAAGAGGTTTTCAGATTGATATTGAGGAGTCATTTATGGGCAGTACAAATTTCTATCTTGCTTAGTACAGGAGCTGAGTCATGCCACATGCTAAATGGCCATGACTCAAGAGAATGTGATTGAATTGGGCAACATTTTAAGTCAATTTTAATGTTTATTATTATGGTACAGATTTCCACGTGCCCAGTAAATGGAGTTATGTACATGTCAAAATTGCCCATTTTTAAAATTAAGATGGGATAATCTTGGGTAGTGAATTTACAGTTCAAATAGGTCAAAATACACTGTGAAGAAATAATAAAAAAAAAATAAAAAAAAAATAAAGATCTTCAGCAAATGTCAACAAATGACAAAATAGGTACCAAATTCATTTTGTAATCTATTGAATTTTTGGTCACATTCAGTAATTTTTCTTAATTCATTCAACTTTAGCTGCTGGACGCTTCACTCTGGAATAAGGGCCAATGTCTGGATCAAAGACAAAATCCCAGATAACCTTCACCCAGGATGTATGGCATGGAAGGTTGTCATAATATTCTGGTGCAAGCTTTCGTAACTGAAAGAAAGAAGGAAAAAAAACAAAAAACATTGGAAAATTTTAAATACATTTTAAAAAAAAAAAATTCTTTTACAAAACCTTTATTAGTTTAAACAAGGCAAAAATTAAGACACTTAATTGTAAAGAAAGTCTCAGTGGACACACAGTGTTGTATTCACTTCACACTAAACCATCACATCCTCCCCACATAAGAGAGAATTTTTTATCCTTGGTTGGCAATCAGTATAGGAGAAGGACAAAAATTCAAAACTTGAGAAAGAAATGCACCATGAAGGTGTGAATCCTGTTTAGGAGTAATCAAGACAACATTCACCTGGCAAAACATTGTACTGAATATCTTGATGATGTGAAATTGACAAATTGTTAATACCCGAACCAATTTTTTTTTTTTTGCGGGGGAGGGGGTCCAAGCCAAATTACTATTTGCATTTCTCCACTGACTTGTGTCATCAAAAAAAAGTGGGTAACTTTAAGACTGTCAACTGTAACAGTTCTAGGAAAACTGCCCAACTATTCACACAAAGGGAATTTCTAATTCATTATTGCCAAAAGAGTTTGAATTAGATAGTCATCTGTGAAAGTGTTAAAAGGTCTGATGTAATTATTACACCTGCCTACTCGTGAGATACTTATTGATAAATTAACTAACATGTTTCTATTAGAACTTATTCTAAAATATAGGCAGACATATACATCCACACACTGGTAGGTAGGAACACAATTGCTAGAAGCTGCTGGAAGACTGACCCACTTTAGAAGTTGATTTTTGGTTAGTTGTTTAGTGGCATATCAACATCTCTATGGGTTATTTAATGCCAAAATCTATATAGTATGCATTTTTTTTTCTTGAGATAATAATGGTTTTAGCAATACAAACTTTATTAATTAATCTATAGCTGGGGGTGGGGGTGAGAAGAGGTTGATTCATACCTTTCCTAAGGGTATCTACAGATAAATGAATATAATGAACCTAATGGGAATTAGAACTTGGCTCTCTGATTAACAATTCCAAACCATTTTCCATTACACCACCTGAACATCTAAGCTTACAACACCTGGTATTCACAAGTGGTCATCCATCTAGGTACTGACCAGACACAATGATGCTTAACTTTGGTGACTCTACAGAAACCAGTATTTCAACACGAGGCAGTAAACCACTTTAAGAGTGTTACTTTTGTTATGAAGGGGTTTTGATAGTACAGTTTACTTTTGGAATCTTTTCACTTATTTGGATGTTACGCTGAAGTTTTATAAAATGTCAAATACACAATTTCAGATTAAACTAGAAAGACACACACATTCTAAAAGAAATTAATGTTAGATTCATACAGCTAAGCCTGCTTAACATAAAACACAGAACCTTGTTAGACAAGTTACAGGTTCTTGATGTCTGATGTTGCACCCAAATCAGCCAGAGTTATCTGCTAGAAATTAGACCCAAAGCAAAAATTAAGCAGTGGAGTAGAATAACAAAACTAATGAAAACTACCAAAATATATATTTCAACTCTTATAATATTGGCAACTACTGGGTAGAAAAAAAAAAACAAACAAAAAAAAACAAACTAAAAGTTATTGCCATGTTCCTTCAGGACATGAACAATCAAGGGTCTCCATAGAGATTCCAATTTGCCTCCTCCATGGTTTTGAATTCAGAATTTTCTTTCTACATTGGCTGCCAATCAAAGCTAGGATTTCAACTTGGCTTGTTGATTTCACTGTACTGACAACTGTGCTATTATTACCCCCCACTCCACACACACAAAAAGAAAACCAAAACAAAACTAAGTAAAGATGTGTCCTGAAAGAAGAAGTAAGACAAAGTTAAGCTTTTTTTCAACAGTAAACTACTCACAAGAAATAGTTTAGCAAGGAGAAAATACCTAATGATAGGATCCTTATAATTTTATAATAGATCAACTATTGTGCTCTGAGTAAATTAACCAATAAAAAAAAAAAAAAAAAAAAAATTTATAAGATCACAAGTTCAGAGTGGATAGGAAACAATGTACTAGTTTTTGCTCCAATTACTAAAAAGATTAAATATTTCCAATCAAGCAGCACATTTTACGAGATCCATTGTCTTCTTGCATTACAGAATGTGGAGGTTGGTCCAGGATAGCACATTACTGGACAGAAGACCTGTGGACATAGAATTCTGATAGGGATGGATATAAAACCAAGATGATATGACGTCAGCAGAGGGCCACAAGAATTTTGATAACACACTTTCCACTCCTTAGAGGCTAGCCTGCACATGGCAAATTGCTAAGCCAATAAGTGGGCAAATGTTCCCCTGAAGACCTTCCTTCTGCTCCTTTCTAGAATAAATGTTATCTTGTATAGTAAAGCAAATATGAAAAAGAAAGTCCATTGTCACTACAGTTTAAGAAGTGGCATTGGGATCTGAAGGACTGAAGTCAGTGGCAACACAAAATGCAACACTTGCAGTATATTTCATACAATTTTTGCATTGTTTTTTTTTTCTCCCCCAGATATTGTAGATTTTAAATCTTAAAGTGAATTTATTGTTGCATCATTAAGGATGTTTGCAGTTTTTACATTCAATAAAATGTTATTTAGCTCATGTCAAAACCTGTCATTTTGTTATGACATTCACAATTTCATTTATAAAAATATTTACTTGCTTTTAATTCTACAAACAGTAACAATCTAGTGAAATTGGACAGAATGTAAGTTTGCCTTTCAATTCAAAAACTACCAAACTTGAATTTCTGCTAAGGTGATATTACAGCTGTTTATTTAGTTTATTTAATCTTATACTACCTAAATAGATTCAAAGAAAAAAAATCTAGCATTATTAACGGGAAAATCATTTGTACATGAAATTAAGACATTTTACAAATTTTATAAATAAAAATGAATTCATGGACCAGTTTTAATTTTTTTTTAAAAATAAAATGAAATGACTACAGTATTTAAATAAAACTATTGTGATTTTTGCACAAGGAGAAAAAATTGCAGAGGTTTACACAAATGAATGAATACTCTGATCTATTTTCATAAATGCTATCCAGATTATTGTAACTTGTTCTACAAGGATAGTACAGGACACAAGTGACGAACCAAGACTTAAAAATTGGAAATGGTAATTTCTTACCTCTGGCAGCTTGCTCCCAGCAATGAAGGGGAAATCATGATGTTCATTGTGATAACCAACATTAAAAGTGATGGCATTCAAGCAACCATAGTAAGAGTAGGTTTCATAGCCCTTTTTAAACATATAATGCTCAGAGATGAAGTGACCAGCCATTGGATGAAGTCCTGTTGCTAGAAGCGTGCCACTGATCATATAAACAATTGGCTTCACTCCTAAGAAATAATAGACAATAAGATCAAAGGTAACTTGAACAATGATGTTGATCAATTCCAACAATTCTAATGGCTTTGGACGCATGAAAAATGGCCTGAGGCTATAAAACAAAGGCTGCAAAATGACCCAAAGGAGTTTTGTGTAAGTACGAGTAAAAAAACGAGCTTCGAGACGACTTGGGATGTCTACATCTTTCTCTTCATCTCCTTGGTACCTGTGGTGCTCCAAGTGGTACTTTTTGAATGTGACAGAAACTGGTACTCCAAGAGGTAAGTTACCAAAGATGCCAAGAATGCGGTTAGCAAGAATATTGCTTGTTCCAAAGGCAAGATTGTGGGAAATTTCATGGATGGCAAGAGACATAGAATGGTTGATGACACCACCAAAGCAGTAAGCAAGAATGATTATATTTGTCCAGGACATGTTTTTCACAAAGTACATGACCACCAACTGTACTAGCACCATTGTCACAACAATGTATTTGAGTTTTTCATCTGGACCATACAGCTTCTTCACTTGAGGGTATTTTGCTGAAGAAAAAAAAAAAAAAAAAAAAATATTTTTAGTTGTTTGACATTAAAGTTATTTAGAAAATGAATATATAAAATAATTTCAAGTAAATTGAACATTTCAGTTTGAAGTTTTTATAATTTATTGGAGGTAAGAGGCTGTGTGTCTATAATGGGGGGGGGGCAATTTTCCATAAATCCATTTTGGTAGAGAAATTGCAATAAAATCAACTATAATTATTAAAACAGCAAAAATAAAAACAAAACTCAAAGTTAAATGTGAAGAACATATTTTCAACAGAAAAATAAAAAAATTCAAAATAAACAAGATTAGATAAGAACAGATTGTTAATTATAACTTGAAAGCACAATATTTATGAAACCAATTACATAGCACTTATTTTGATTAACTGCTTTATTTAGAATGATTACTTCACTACTTATATACATATAAAAACAACTTTAGTTGGCAATAATATAAATCAGATGGCTATAAAAAGGCACTGTTGATTATTTATGGCTAATTTGTTTAATGCACTATTGTTTGTATCATGTGGCAATAATTGTAAATAAAAATGATACACCAAATAAGTAACCAAGTAATCATTTTAAGCTCTCTGAATACCCGTGCCTTTTTATTATTAGTTAAAGATTATAGGTGATAAAACCATAAACTGTTATAATTAACCTAGAAGCAATTTTAATGTAACAAATTATGCAGCACTTACTTCAATTGACCACATTATTACTTATGTAAAAACGGTTATTGCAATAATAAAAATGACAGATGACTATAAAAAGACACTTGATTATGGCTAATTTGTTTAAATAAAGCACTATTGTTTGCATCATGTAAATAAAATGATATAAAATAAGCAACCAAGTAATCATTTTAAGTTTTTTTTTTTTTTTTTTTTTTAAAATAAACAGTTGGCAATCCATTCCACAAGAGAAGTAATTTTAAAAGTAATAATCTGAGAAATCATGGAGACTTGACTATCCCTCCTTGTTCTCTAAGCCAAATATTTTTTGATATACCAGTACTTATTTTGATTAACTGTATTATTTAGAATGATTACTTATATAATGCACCAACTATTGTTGGTATCATGTGGCAATAATTGTAAATAAAAATGAGGTTTTACATCTTTCATAAGGTCTTATATAATCCATAGGAGTAGTGACTGACTTCTCTAATTATGCTTATCAAAACTATCACTAAATGAATGCAGTTCTCATTAATGAAATGTGCATTGAAGCATAATTTTGTAGGTGTTGTTGACCATGTATTAACTCCCACACTATGACTCTTTTCCTGTTTAAAGAATCCTTCATAAAGTTGTGAATACAAGTAATATGACGTTGTTCAGGGCCACAGCCTCCAAATATGACATTTCTGTGTCCGGCCTGCTTTGGTCACCAGGTATGGCAGTACTCAGGGTCAATCCCAGTCTACTTGCTTGGTCAGGATCAATTCTGGTATCAGAAAACAAGTCGTCGGCCCACTTGTCTGTCGTTGATGCATTTGACATAGCAGCTTTAAGTTGACCTCTTCAACTGTGACCTCTCTTACCCACATGATTTTGATCTTAAGAGAATCAAGCTGAATTTCCACTGAGGTATCTTAACCATGCTAAACCAAGGAGTTGAACACGTGCATACAAAATTGAAAAATAAAATGGACGACACCCGAATAAGTCACGATATGATGTTTGTTGTGAAGTTGTAGTTAGCACTAATCAGCCGCTAAGCTCGTACTTCTACCTCGTTATTCCCAGATCTTGTACTCCTTCTCCTGCTATTTTCATCACTTTGCTCTATTTCTCTCTCACGTATTTCTTTCCCTGGGAGACCTAGATCTGTCCTGCGCTAGGCTGTAGTCATATGTGTTTTCTTGCATAATCTGGTCTTCGTCCGAACTTTCAGACTCATTCTGGCCCTCTTCATCCTGCATTGTTTAGTCTTCTGACGTTTCCTTCTGTAATGGTTGTTCTACCAACTCGTTATCAGACGGAATTGAAGACATTTCTTTGTTGTTTCATTCTTCCTCTTCACCCTGGGTCCTTATTTGGTCTGCATGGGCTAACACACTATTGCCATTTTCTCTATTTATTATGGCTGTATTGTGGCCTTTTTGCATTATAAATTCGGCTCCTTCCGGATCTGCATCTTTGCTCTTTTTGTACCACATTTTTTCATTTGTAGAATATGACATCGTTAGCGGAGCTCTAATCTGTCTTCCCGCATGTGTTATCGCACGATAACTTAAAAGCAGCCTCGGTAGAAAAACTTCTACTTTTTCTTTTTGCTGAGAGCATGCTTTTAGCCCCTTTTTTATGGTCTGTACCATTCTTTCTGCTAATCCGTTTGATTGAGGGTGATACGGAGGTGTCTTATATGGTTTACACCCTATTTTTTCTAACCATACGTTAAGTTCTTCCTCACAAAATTCTGGTGCATTATCAGATACCAAAGTTTTTGGTACACCATTTCTGGAAAATATAACTCTTAGAATCTCTTTATAGTAGAACTTATCTTGTTTGTAACCCGGATTATTTCAGGCCAACCTGAAAAGAAGTCTACTAATATTAATAAGAGTCCCACTCCATTAATGTATGCATGATCCATATGCACACGACTCCATGGCTCCACTTCTTTGGGCCACGGATGTAATTTGGTTTGTGTAAAGTTTCTTAATTCTTTACATATTCCTCAACATCTCTTGAATATCCCGGCCACCAAGCTTCTAATTTTATCCTTTTTTGTGTGGCCGCTACTCCACAGTGTATATCATCATGTACACTTTCTATTATCAGTTTTCTTTGTGTTTCTGGGGGAACTACCAGGTCCCCATTGCAAATCACTCCATGTTCTATTGTTAATTTGTGTCTTATTTCTTTATAGGGTCTTTCTGCCCTAGAATAATTTTCCCACAAGTTTTTTCTTATTCTCGATACTATCCTATTTAGCACTGGATCATGTCTCGTTTCCGCAGCCATTCTATCTAAAGACAAAACATCAGTCTATCAAGTGTAGGAATGAATCTTCAAATTCTTCCTCTGTTTTATCTTTTGACTCCTTGTAGAACCTCAATCTTGATAGTGCGTCCACATGTGGAATTGAATTTCCTTTGACATACTCTATATCAAAGTCAAATGCCATCAATCTTATCGCCCATCATAGAATCCTTGATGTTGTGACTGGGTAATTCTTTCATTGGGTTAAATATAAACTAATGGTCTATGATCACTTCTTAATAGAAATTTTTCCCAATTAAAAATTGTCGGGCTCTGGTAGTTGTCCACACGATAGCCAATGCTTCTTTCTCTATGTTCGAGTAATTAAATTCAGTGTTCGTTAATCTTCTTGAAAAATACATTATCGGATGTCATTCTTGTGATAATATTCCCAATATTGAATGTTCACTTGCATCTGTTGTGAGTGTTATGTCCTTTTTGGGATCAAAAATTTTCACTACAGGTTTCTTTGACATAATTTCTTTTAATCTTTCAAAAGCTTTTTGCTGTTCGTCTGACCACATAAATTCCACATTCTTTTTTCTTAAATTTGCAAATGGTTCCATCAAGTCCGTGTATTTTGGTAAGTATCGTCTGTAAAAATTTACCAATCCCCAAAAAAGACTCCAATTCTTTTTTATTTGTAGGTGTAGCTACTGTTAGTATTTTTTCTATCACGGCTTGGTCTGGTGATATACCTTCTTTTGAAATGGAATAACCTAAAAGATATTTTTTTTAGAATTGCTTCTGCATTTTTTTTTTCATTTATCGTCATTCCAGCATTTCTTAATCTATTCAAGACTAAATCAGTTTTCTCTTTTAATTCCTTTTCATTAGTAGCTCCTATGCATATGTCGTCTTGGTAACAAATCATATTTTGTACATTTCCTAAAACTTGTTTAATGGCCCTTTGAAATATGGCGCTTGCGGTTTTTATTCCATATGACATCCTTTTCCATTTTAGTAACCCTATTGGCGTATTTATCGTGGTTACTTCTTTGAAGTTTTCGTCTATTGGCATTTGGTGGTATGCCATTTTTAAATCTATTTTTGAAAAAACGGACATCCCTGCCAGTGCATGTAATGCAAGTTCCATATTGGGTATGGGATATGAATCCGAGCATATCTTGTGATTTACTCCTATTTTGTAATCTCCACAAATACTTAAATCACCATCTGTTTTCCTCAAAACTACAAATCGGTGATGCCCACTTGCTACCTCCAGGTGGAACATGTTCAAGAAAATCTTGTTCTACTAATTTACGTAGTTTTGTCATTACTAACGGCAATAAATGTACTGGTAATTTTCGTGCCTCATAAGAGGGGGAAACATTTTCTTTTACTTTTAAACTTGCTTCATAGTTTTTTAACTTTCCAGTTTTTTCCATTTTTATTTCATTAATTAACTTAGAATTTATATTAAGCCTGTCATTTCCAATAAGCCCGTGGTTTTTTTTGCAACTTGTAACAACTATAGGTATTACTTCAAATTTTTCTTTTAACTCTAATGAACCTTCAAAGTATCCTAATGTTTTTATAACCAACCCATCAAATTGGTGGAGTTGTAAACTGCCTTTTCGTAAAAGGTGGCTTACCAATATGTTCCCAAAAATCTTTTGGTATCAGTGTTACTTCACTCCCAGTATCCATTTGCATATCTAAATTGCAGTTATTAATTTTGACCTTTACTATATTGTCTTTTTTCTTATGTTCAATTCTTTTTAAAATCTTATTTTTTAATGTAAAAACTTCCCTATCGGTCTTAATTGAATCAAGTCCTCTTCAATAGTCTGTTCGTCTTGTCCAAGTTTTTCAAATTCACAATATCTACTTGCATTTCGTAGACGGTGTAAATATTTTATAATTGGTTCATCAATTTCTTGTTTCATCGACATGAATTTCGTTCTTTCTGCCACTACCAGCCTTTTCTTGGGTCTCATATTTCTTTTTATAATCTGACTTATTTTTTTTCAAAAGTCAGGTCTTCTGAATTTAAGGGATATG